AAGGAATTACTGCCAAAAATGCAGCCAGGATAACACTGAGCAAAATAATACACCGTGCATCCCCCCTCAGGCTCCTCAGCTGGCCTGGGGGCAGGGTGTCACGCTTCCCTGCCAGCCCTGCTTACACAGGGGAGAATCAAAATAAAATCCAGGGGAAGAGTGGTGTAGATTACAACAATTAATTTCATTCTTTAATTTCATTCTTCCATTTTCTCACAGTGTTTTTAAAAGCTCCCAGCAAGGACAGCCCTTAGGACAGCACACAGACACGGGGCAGGTTGAATTCCCCATCAGTTGCTCGCAGAAAGAGTTTCGGACTGCGGCGGAGCACTGCGATGTGGAGGTGAGAGGAAATCAGCTGCTGGAGCTGAGACTACACAGGATTATTGTTTGGGTTTTTTGTATTTTGGGGGGAAAAATAGATTCAAGGAATTCCAAGACAAAATCTGCTGACTGTACGGAAGCTGGAACCAGTAACAAAAAGAAAAAAGAAAACAGAAAAAAAAGCATTGGTCCTTAATTCTGACCTTCTCCACGTTGCTGAAGTCTGCTTCACTCCCTGGTACTTGCTCTGAAACCCACGCAAAAGGTTTGCTGGGGCCAGGGAAAGCATTCTGGTGCCTTGTGTCTCATTTCCACGGGGAATTAAAGTGACTTCCAACTAGGTGAATAAATAAAAGGAATTTTTACAACATAGCTTTGTAGAGAATTTAAATGCTTTTTTGAAGCCCAGGCAGAGTCAGATGCAAAGAATGAACCTCTCTTTGCTGCAAATGCCCCCAAAATCAGGTTGAGATGGAGGTTATTTTTCGTCTCGTCTTGCCCTTCCTTTTCAGTCTCATCCTGCCAGTAGAAAAGATTGATTGGAAACGCAGCTCAGCTTCCTGCCAGCAGGTCTTGGGGTCCTGTTGAGCCATGACACTTACAAAATTGTCCGTAAAGGGTAAAAAAGAGGTTGCTGGAATGGCGTTTATCCAAGAAGCTTAGGACCTATAATTTCTTTTTTTCCCTTCCCCCTCTCTGGGAGGAACAAAGGATAAGAGGGCTTTGAAAAATCCTTGCAAATAGGAGCAGGGAATGACGCTTACAGAGATGTAGGAGATTTCCCTGTGAGTTTTAAAATGCTTCACTCTTGTTTAAAACTCAGCCAGCTTGTCCGGCCTTAATCCTTGCTGCTCAGCCTCTGGAGAGAGCCCTCTCCGGCTGGCAAACCCTCCGGCCAGGATCGCTGCCACCAGAGAAGGATAGAGGGAGGACAGAGGGAGGTCCAGGTGGGGAAGTGGGGAGAGGGCAGCAGCCGGCCAGAGCACACAGCTGCCCACGCAGACACCCATGTGCACACACCCCTCCGCCCCGTACCCACCCCCTGTGCACGCACACAGCCCCCCACCCCTGTACCCCCGTGCACACCTGTACAGACACCCAGTAACCGCAGCCCCATGCGCAGCCCCCCACAAACCTTCCTGCACACGCCCCTGTACCCACACTCCCCTGCACACACTACCGCTCCCCTTTGCCCACCCACGCACATCCCCCCACACACACCTCCGCACCCCTGCTCCGTGCATAGCCCTCACCCCAGCAGGCTGCTGGTGCCCCAGCGATGGGCCATGGTACAGACCAGGGAAGACCAGGCTCTGTCACCACCTCCGTGGCCACCACCTTGGTGGCTGCCCAGGGACATCGATCAGCAGGGACCAACAATGAACAAAAAATCACTTTCCAATGCTGGAAGCCCCTAATAAGGCTTTTTTTCCCCCCACTGGAATAACTGGAAATTTGAAGCAGGCACTACATTGCTGGAGGTGCCTGCAAGGCTTTGGCACATGATGGTACAAAGATCACGCAGAAGTAGCCCAATCTGCTCTCCCTTATCTGTTTAGGTCCTAAGTTTCCACCTGGAAATTCCTTCCTTCCTTTTTCCCAGACTCCAGGTCTCTGAGCGTCTGCCCTTGCTATTAAAAAAATAAATAAAAATTGCAATTAACAGCCTCAGGGCTCATGACTAGCTCTCTTCTGGGTTACCAACTTTTTCCAGAGTCCATGGGCAAGTCTTTCCCAGCTGGCCAGTGGCTTTCAAAAATCCTTATTTCAAGCCCAAACTTGAATTTCCCTTTTTTTTTTTTCTTTTTTCCTTGTGGGATTTGCCATAAGCAAAATTTTCTGGCCCCTTGCATATTTGTGTGGGTAGGAGCAGGTGGGGTTACCCAGCAGAGGCCATCAGAAGGACACACACTGGTCGGATGTACACACCAGCAAACAACCGTGTGCAAGCAAATGCAAGCACAGACCAGGACTCGGGAAGCACAAGTGCACACACCCTGGCGTGATCCATGCACGTGTAGAAGCACGCAGAGCAGGTGCACGTGCTGCGCACGCATTTGCAGACAAGCACATACATGGCCCAAGATGCACACGAGCATGATGCATGTGTATGGCACATACCTGCACATGCAGCACACATGGATGTGTTCAAACGTGGGGCATGCAATGCAAGCACAGCAAACACATGAAGTGCGGTACACACCTGCACACGTGCATGTGCAAGCACACAGCCCACAGGCATGTGTACATACAGCAAATGTGCACAGCACGTGCGTGCACATATAGACGTGCAACGCGGATGGCACAGGCATGCACACATGTCAGGCACAGGTACAGTGTGCACACAGCATGCATGTGTGTGCAACAAAGTGTGCACTTGCAGGCACAGACAAGCAGGCAGATCAATTGCATGCACATAACGCAGAGATCAGCTGCACGCACAGAGCGTACAAGCCTGCACACCCCTGCACCCCTTCCCCAGGCAATCAGTGTTCACCCCGCTTTGAGCACAGAGCATCCCACTGCCCTGTGGCCAAGGAAAGCTAACAGGGATGAAGTGTGCAAACTGGGCTGGCCTTCAGTTTATTTTACTGAAGGATGAACAATAATACCAAATCCTCCAGTAAAACTCCGCTCCCTCATCGCATTACAATCTATAATGTGAATGAATATATATATTAACAAAATCAATACACTTTCACAGTATAAAACTGATATAGGTAGGAAAGGGAATTTTTATAACACATGCAGTGTGTCCCAGAGCGTGTCCCCAGCTTCTCCCTTGCGCACATCCATAAGCAAAGCACCACTCGGGTCCTCCAGCATCTGGATGGCAGAGCTGCTGCTGGGAGCTTGCCTTCACCTGGCCCTGCGTGAAAACAGGGTCCCCTAGGTGAAATGGGGAGATATGGTTACACCGTAACACATCATGGCAGGGTCAGGGGAGCGGGGGGGAAGAGGCTTTGGACTCACGCACACCTCCAAAGCTTATCTCTTATGCAAAGAAATGCATTGGGAAACAGGTTGGGGACTGAAAGCCCCCAAATCAGCCATTTTCCTCCTATTGTAGGAAAGATGAAGGCGCCCACGTGATGGAGGTGGACCCTGACATGCTGGACGTGGAGGAGAAGCAAGGGGAAGGGTTGTAGCCAACCTGGGGGAGCGCTCAACGCCACGGCGGGAGCAAGACTTTGGCACCTGCACCAACTGCAAAGTCAAAAGAGGTTCTGCCCTGCAGCACTCCCCACAGAGCAAAGGGGAGCAGCTCCATGCCAGAGGCCACCACCCTGCTGGAATATCTCCCAGGCCTCCTCATCCTCGTGGAAGCTGCTGGGGCTTTTGGGGTGTGGGATCAGGAACTCATCCCCGAGATCATCTGCTGGTGGGAGGACGCAGACCTGCCCACCCTGCAGCACCCAGTTTGGGGGTTGCAAGGGTTTTCCAAGCTTTGCTATGCAACCAGGAGAACTTCCAGCTACAGGAGCGTGGTTTAACATCACTGAGCTGCCAGGAATCCACGGGAGAGGTTCGAGCAGCCTGGGCCGTCGGAGAAGCCCCACAGCTGGCAAGGGAGCAGGCAGCGGAGGCAGGGATAGCCAAGGCGCTGGATGAGACTCCTCTCCTTTTGCTGGTTTTATTGAAGCTGACCTTGTTTGGCTGCATCACTGCTGAGCAAACGCCTATGCCCTGGCAGCCTTGCGAGAGATACCTGCCTGTACCAGCAGGTAGCCTCTTCAACCCCCTGCCCGCCTTGCCTGGACCACCTCCTCCATCCCTCCCTGGGCCTTCGGCACAAGCCATCTCCTTGGAGAGTCGTGTCACTGCAGCCGCCCCCCCTCCCCGTCGCGGTGTGATTTCAGAGGGCAAAGCCAGCTCTTCAGCTTCCGAGGAGTTAGAAAAGCTTGTGCTTTTCTAGAGGTCAAGGCCAGGTTGGACGGGGCTTTGAGCTGCCCATCTAGTGGGAAATGTCCCTGCCCAGGGCAAGGGGGTTGGACTGGATGGTCTTGCAAGGTCCCTTCCAATCCAAACCATTCTATGAACGAAAGGTGCCTCATCTTCCTCCCTTCTGACATCCACTGCTTGCAAGGGCCCAGTTGTGCTCTAATAAGCCTTTTTTTATGTCACGCAGCAAGACTGTGTGACTGTCAGCTCTGAGGAGGCTTTCAGCTGGTCCCTGCTTCTGCTTGCAGACTGCATTTAGTCACAGTTCATTTATTCAGAGCTCAGAAACGTGGACGTTTGCTTTATTGTCAAATATGGGGATTGCATGCACCCTGGTGCACGGGGGGGATGCAAACACCTGGGTGCATGGGGCAGGGAGGAGCATGCGCCCCACCGCATGGGAGACCCACGAGCCCCAGTACACAAGGATTGCACGTACCCCAGGTGCACGGAGGGGATAATCCCATGCTGGGTTCCCTGAGCAGCACCAGTGGCACGACCCGACACCACCCAGCGCCACGCCAGACACGTAGGACGGGCAGCCCTGGGACCGGCCACACCTGCCAGCGGGCAAAGTGCGGGGCAAGGGCTGCGTGGCCCCGTGGAAGGCAGCCATGGAGCGGTACGTCCATGCCGGGCGCCGGTGGGCCGCGTTGGAGGGCATGGGGGGGCAGGGACTGCGGGCGCTGGGTGTCAAGGGGGAGCTGTGGGTGCAGGCACGGGCTACAGGCAGGGGCTGTGGGTGCAAGTGGGCACAGGCAGGAGCTGGGGCTGGAGGGTGGGCACAGTAAGCGCAGGCAGGCACCAGCCAACACGGCCACTGCCAACGGGGCTCCTCTGCCATCTCTCTGCCAGCCCGACAGCCGTGCGGCTCTGCGGCATCGCCCTCCTGCTGGGCGCTGCCCTCTCCCTGCCTGCAGCCAGCGGCAGCCAGGTGAGCCCCCCCACCCTCTGCCTCACCCTCCCACTGCCCTGTGTGATGAGTGGGCACAGGGAGACCCACGTGTGATCTGTGCCACCCCCCCACACACCTCTCTCTCTCCCTGCAGGCTCCGAGCAACACTGGGTGGAAGGACCTGGCTGCGGAGCAGGATTTGGCCAAGGAAATGTAAGAGGTGGCTGCACTCCCCCCACCTTCGGGTGTCTGCATCTGGCTTGTACAAACCAACAAAGCAACACCCCAAAACATAAAGCATTTCAGATGGGACTAGATTTCCCTCGTTGCTTTGTGCCCCCCCCCCCCCAAATTAAGGGGCTCCCAGCTCCATCTTTCTCCCAAATCACCCAAACTCTCCAAGCATCGAGCCCCAGCTGGTTTCCCTTTACTAGTGCCAGTGGGGAGCTGCGGGTGCTGCAGCACTGATGTCCCAGACCCATCCTGCCTGTTTGCAGGATAAGCAGCTAAATTAGCCCATTTGCTCCCTGAAATCCTAACTGCAGCCTCCCGGACAGGGGCGAGGGGGGAATCTCGCCAGGGTCCCTGCACCCTGATGGGGTGGGATTCCCCTGGGGCAGGGGGATATTTAGTAACCCTGATGCACTGCAACCTTTCCTCGACCATTTTGCTCTCCTTTTCCAGCATCCTGGGCATACGAGCTGTGGAGCCGCCGGAGGAGGGCGAGATCTCCGAAGATGTGGAACCAGGTATAAAGGTCTTCTCCAGCAGCGCCTGGGCTCAGTGGGGCCCCCGCCAAGACCAGGTGGGACCAGAGGAGGACCGTGACCACCTCCACCACCCCCAGGATGATGCCAGGGAGGCCGATGGCCATGAGTCACCCTGGGTGCTGTCCCTGGGGGTGCAGAGTGGCCTGGAGGAGGACCGCGACCATTTACACCACAGCTGAGTGGAGTTGTGCCCAGGCTGCGAAATGAGGGGTGGGAGCTGCCCCTGGGGCTTCCCAAGGGGATTTGTCCCTCCCTTTCCCCCACCCTGGAGCCACCCCAATAAACCCGTTCCCCCCTCCACATCCTGGTGGGCTCCTCGCTGCTGCCAAAAACCTGTCGCTAAGTGCAGGGCCCCAAACTTTGGGGGATCCTCCTCCTTGGGGTCACTCCAAGACCCTGAGCAGGGTGAGGATGATGCCTCCGGGCAGGGGACTCAGCCCATCACCCCGGCCTCACTTCAGCCCAGATGGGGCTGAGGCCAGGCAAACTTAGCACATTGGTGTTGCGCCCAAGAAGGTGCCACAGGCTGTCCCCTCTCCAAGGGACACATGGACCTATTGCTCCAGCGTCAGAGAGCAGCATGATGGAGTTGGGGGGGGGTCTCAGTGAACCCCAACATTTCCCAGCTCAGGGGGGACCCCACAGCAAGGATGCCCTATGTTCCGGCAGCGCCAGAAAAACCTTTTAATAGTGATGGCAAAGGCGGTCCCCGCTGCTGGTTGTCTCACCCCAGGCAAGTATCGCTCGCCACTGGGTCCTGGACCCCTCCGCGGGGTGATGTCCTGGACCCCTCCACGGGGTGATGCAGGGGGCTGATGGGCAGCAGGTGGCCGTGGGGACCCACACCACCCTGGGCTTAGCTGTCGGTGAAGTTCGCTTTGCGCTTCTCCACAAACGCCGTCATCCCTTCCTTGCGGTCGCCCTGTGAGGAGCGGCGACGTGAGGCTGGGGGGGGGCTGCGGCAGCCCCGCTATCCCCACCTCGCAATGGAGCCGACCCCCCTACTCACGGTGGCGAAAGTGGCGTAAAAAAGCCGCTTCTCCGTCCTGGTCCCCTCCGCCAGCGTTGTCTCGAAGGCTGAGAGCAAGGGAGAAGTTGGGGAGACCCTGCTGCCTGGCCCCGCAGCCCCCCTGGGGGGGTTCCCGGTTGGCCCCCCAGCCCCTACCAGCATTGACCGACTCCTTTGCCATGGCGGCCACCAGCTTGGAGTTGCTGGCAATCTTCTCAGCGCAGGCGATGGCTGCGTCCAGCAGCTTCTCCACAGGGAAGACTTTGCTGACCAGACCTAGGATAGACGGTGGGAGGTGGGGGGGCAGGGGGATGACTCCCCGCCGGACCCCCGCGGAGCTGGGGCTAGCCCGTGCCCCTACCTGCCTCCTTCGCCTCCGCTGCCGAAATCCGGTCCCCGGTGAGGACCATCTCCATCGCCAGCGACTTCCCCACCGCCCTGGTCAACCTCTGTGTCCCTCCAGCACCTGGAGACAGTTGGGGAAGGGACAGGTCCAGAGCGGGACACCCGGGTGTCCCTGCTGTCCCCGCTCCGGCCGGCACGGATCCTCCTCAGTAGGTGGCCCCCGCTCACCTGGGATGGTCCCCAGCAGGATTTCAGGTTGCCCAAACTGCGCCTTCTCCCCGGCGTAGATGATGTCGCACATCATGGCCAGCTCACACCCGCCGCCCAGCTGGGACAGGGGAGGAAGAGGGGGGTCAGGGGGTGCTGGGGCCGAGCCGGGGTGTGGGGGGCTGGGGACTCACAGCGTAGCCGTTGACGGCGGCGATGATGGGTTTGCGGACGGTGGAGACCTTGTCCCAACCGGCGAGGAAGCTGCTGCTGTAGCACTCCTGGAAAGTTTTGTTCTGCATCTCCTTGATGTCGGCGCCAGCTGCAAAAGGCAACGGGGTGGGACACGGACGCGGACACCGACACGGACAGGTGGTGGCAGGCACCCTGCCCTACCTGCAAAGGCTTTTTGGCTGCCGGTGATGACGATGGCCCCCACCTGCGAGTCGTTCTCCAGGGCCTCCAGCGCCTGCCGCAGCTCCTCCATCAGCCCCTCGCAGAGGGCGTTCAGCGCCTGCGGCCGGTTCAGCTGGATCAGGCCCACGCTCTGCCGCGCCCCGGTCTTCTGCACCGCCAGGTACTGGAACGGGGCCCCTGCCCGCCGCCCCCCGGTCGACACCGCCCCGTTAGGCAACCGGCTGTCCACAACCCGGTGAGACACCCCCCACCCCCGCCGCCCTCCGGTGAGCCCCGGCCGCGCTATTTTAAGGCGACCTTCAGGGCAGCGGGCGCGTGCCAGCGGTCACCGGGAGCCAGCGGGACGTCACCCCCCGGGGGGGGGGGTCGGGACCGGAGCCCGTGAGGAGTTCCCGGTGCGGTCCTGACCCGGGCAGGCGCAGCCCGGTGACCACCCGGCGCCGGGCCGGCGCGCCGTGCTGGGACCGGGTGCGCGGTCCAGGGACCCCGTGCAAGGCGCTGGGCACACGGACGGTGCTGGGACCCCGGTGCACGGTGCCGGGACCCCGGCAGGCAGTGTCAGAGCCCATACACGGTGCAGAGATCCGGTGCCAGG